TATAGCCCCAATATAACCCATTATAGTAGTTTCCATTTTCTTTTCCATTATCCCAACATATAGCCCCAATATAACCCATTATAGTAGTTTCCATTTTCTTTTCCATTATCCCAAATGAAAAAACATCAGCTCCAGCTCGGGCTGTTGCGCACATCAGCTGGTCACGGAGGCCCTCTCCGTCCATCTCACACAGCTGCGCCAGCCTGGTATAAATGAGGTTCCTGTCATGGGTGCTCCACGCTACATTCCTTACCAGTAGAGCTAAGTGCAGCAGCAGATGAGAACATGGTAACATCGCTAGGCGTGACTGGAATGCATGTGGTTTTGGTTTTTGCTTAACTTGTTCACTGTTTGCAGATCGCATTCTGGATACGCAGGCGACTGCTGCGGTGCAAGATGCGCAACGATGTCACACGGGGTGCGCACTTGGAGGTCTGCAGGGAGGTGTACAGCTTCATGTAGGAGCCAATGGTTGGCAGTGCCTGCTGCTGCCTGACCTCCAATCTCACTGAATCACAAGGCTTGGCTGGAACAGCATGGACAGAATGCAGAGCTATGAGAACAATGCACAACATGATGGGAGCCATAGTCTAAACTCCTAATATCCTCTTAATAACCCCTATAGAGTAGAGTTCAGGGTTTTGGATTTAAATTCCGAGCATCCCCCTTACTAAGCCCTATAATTATACTTCCCTATATAATCCCCTGTATAGCCCCCATTAAGGAATTTAGACTATAGCTCATGTCCCTCTCAGCTGCCTCCTGCAGGAAAAGGGTCAGCTGGCGCTGGTGCGCTTCGTTGGCGGTGAAGTTTTCCAAGTCTGGGCGTGGCAATGCACGGCAGCGAGTTATATAGGAGATTATGTAGGGAAGCATTATAAAAGGGATTAAATAACTAAGGGGAATACTAGGAATAATAGAGCTTCTGCAGAAGCAATTGAAATGCCGCAGCTCTCCAAGGGCAGTGCTGTCAAGGTCAGGCATGGAGGCCGCCACGAACTTGGGGCATGCGTAGGAGAAAAGATCCTGGAGGGTTAGGGTTTGGGGTGTAGGGTTCACCGATTGATGGGCAGGTGATTGTCACTTTGTTGCTGCTGTTGATACAGCGCCGACCGGATGGAATAATGAAAGCTACTATAGTAGTTTCCATTTTTCCATAATCCGTATATAACCCAACTATATATACCCTGTAATCCCTAAAAAACGCCTACTACTGCTTCACACCTCCCTGGCCGAGTTGCGCAGGCTCGCACATGCACGTTACAATCTTACTGACAGTAACTGCATTAGCCAGCACATTTATCTAAGCCTCATTCTGTGCCCGAGAGCCCCTCATCAACTCTCATACAAACTCCATTTCCCATTAATTTCCAGTGTGCTTTCCATTTTCCATTGCTGGGGAATGATCCTTAGTTTCTATTCTCTTTTCCATTTTCTATACGTCTCCCTATATCACCCCTACATAACCCTATAATCATACCCCATATAGTCCCTATACCACTTTACATAATCATGATCTTTGCCCGGATTCCCCTCCTCGAAGCAAGCCTCATTACCCTGCTGGAGGCGCATCTGCTTATCTGCAGGTCAGGTGTAGGCAAAGCAAACTGCACAACAACAGAGGTGTCTAGGGATGATATAGGACCTGTATGGGGGCTATATTGCGAGCTATATAGGGGGTACATAGGGATTACATAGGGACTATATAGGGGGTAGTAGGATGATACAGGGGCTATAAGGGGACTATAAGGGGGTACATAGGCATAACATGGGAACTATATAGGGACTATGTGGGGACTATATGGGGGCATAGAAGGACTTTATAAGGACCATAAGGGGTATACAGGGACTATATGGGGTCTATAAGTATGATATAAGGACTCTTTGGGAACTGGCCAGGGGTCATAAGGACGATATAAGGACTATATTGGAACTATATTGAGTATATGGGGGTATATAGGGATTACATAGGGACTATGTGGGGACTCAGGGTTATCTAGGGATGCTATGGGGACTATATGGAGGTAGATAGGGATTATATAATCCAACGATTGCACACAAGGCCACCATGCGCTGAGACAGTTAAAACATGCTGCCTGCATGAGCTTTGCTCGGGAGATCCCTCAAAGCCATGAACCCGAGCAGATAGTGATGGATTGGATTGAGCATTTAAGAGTCGCAGACCGTAGCCGCCATATAGTCCCTATATCATCCTATATACCCCCATACAGTCCCCATATAGTCCCCGTATAATCTCTATATACCCCCCATCTGGGCCGTGGTGCCTGCATGCTTTTCTCGGATGGGCTTTTCCAGGGATTCATCGAGCGGCTGGGGGCAAAGGGCGTTGCAGATCAACAGCAGCACGTACATCTGATCCTGGCAGCAGATACTGGAAATTCCATCTGGGCGCTGAATAAATGCAGTGAATCACCAAATTGTTTCCTGGGTCAGCACTATGATTGCTTCTGGTGTGCCTGCTTCTTCAGCATCTGATCATACTGGTATGAGAGCGAATTCACAGCAGAGATCTTGGAGAGGAAGACCAAGATATCTTGGAAAGTGCGGGATGCATCCACGTACCGGCGCATCATCATGTACCTCATTGTATAGCAGAGGATCTTCATGTTTGGGGCTAGGGTTGGAGGTAGATGCCTCAACTGGTGGTTAGTAGGAAGTGAAGGACTGGAAAAGAAACTGGAACTAGTACATGATAAGGTACTGGGGAATACTTCCTCCATTCCCTACTAAACACCACAAAGGGCAATTCTCAGGACACGCGGTCGAGGCACGCAAAACCCATGTAGTAGAACACAGTGACGTGGCATGCTGGGATTCTGTAGAACAAGGGCACCTGGCGTTTCAGACAATGAAGTGAATGGCACAGCCGGTTCCTATCCACGACCCCCCCAAAGCATGAAAGTTTGATCATGGGTTCTATCGTCGATCATGTCTGCACGTTTCGCTTACAAAAAGTCCGGCAGCGGTGATGTGCAGCGTACTTTGCTAGCAGCAGTCAATCCGAGAAGTCTGCAGAAGCAGGATTTCTGGCATAAGGTACCTCTGCTCGGAAGTCGATGCTCTCGATCGTCTCCTGGACTTTTGCTTGATTTTGGAAAGAGGTGCCCGACTAGCCCCCCTTGGTCCCAATGCTTTCAGCAGCCAGGCAGTTCGCATGTCAGAAAACATCTAAGTGCATGATCCAGGAATATCCAAGAGTTTCTTGTTCAGAGTTGCTGCAGGCAGGCATCCATAGCGAGGCGGTAGTCACCGAGCAAGCTGTGCATTCGCAGCAGCTGCATGAGGGCGAAATATCCGATAAGTCGCGTCGACTCATCCTTAGGATTCTAGGATTCTTCCTGCCAAATTGGGCAGAAAGCTGCAAAGGCTGCTGCACTCGCTTCTAAGTCCAAGACTGTGAAGGCCGCACCTGCCCAAAATGGCAGACTTCACGACACGTTGCAATGGAATGTAATGACATCAAGCACCCTTGGCCCATGTGCCGAAACCACTCGCCATCTGCTTGCACGTGAACAGGGGATTATAGGGTATATACCATAGTATAGCGGGTTTATATAGGGATAATGAAAAAGACAATGGAAACTTCTAAAAATTACAATATATCAGGGTATATTATAGTATATAAGCCCGTGATAGTAGTTTCCATTTTCTTTTCCATTATCCCTATATAACCCCAATATAGTATATTGGGTTTGCTGCTTGCCTTGGCCGTTGCCTCCTTCCGGGTTGGCGAGCCACTGCTCGATCAAGGAATAACGCACAAGCTGGTGGAGGTAGCTGAGAACCTGAAGATCGGGGTGTTGGCAAAGTCTGAAGGTGATGCGAAGCGATTCAAAGCAACAGTAGTATGTGCGACCCTTTGTATGGCCTTGGTCGTCTCGAAGACACCAGGGTTGTCAACCAGCTGCTTGACGTCCGCCTCCTGCATCACTTGTGGTTGCACTGTGCAGATGACAAGGAGCTGCAAACTTCTACCTTGCACATAGCGTGCCTTCTGCAGCTTTGCCGCCTTGTGGCAGTAGGTGCTGTATGTCCTGGCGTGATTGGCTCGCAAGTCCTCTTGTCATGTAGCCTCTCCGAAGTGCTCTGATGGCTGGGCTCTGCTGAGGCCGGGTCTGATAGTGATACACAAACTCATCTAAGATGTCCCACAGCCATTGCGCGGGAAGGGCAATCCCGAGATCCTCAAAATCAAACGGCATAGAATTGCACGCAGAGCTAGGTGTGTGCAATTGGTAGCTACTCTGGAGCTCAGGCACCAACCTCCCCATCTGAAAGGTTCTCAATCATCAAATCCAGAAGCTGGGTGTAATTTTTCCAGGAGCCGATTCTGTCCTGCAAGTGGGGTAAGCACAGTTTCTGAGGAGCAGCTAGAACATGTCGGGGTTTCGCCTTCAAATACGATGACCAATGTTCATTTCATGGTTCATTTTCTTTTTCATTTGATTCTCCTTTATTGTGGTAATATTAACCTATGTTTCCCATATAACCCCTATGTCTCCCTAACATGACTCCCCTTCTCATACAGTATTGCTCCCACATAACCATTCTACCCAGGCTAATAGAGCCACTCGAGTCTAGACACATGTGCTTATATGGGGCTATATTACCCCAATAATGGGGAAACAGCTGGAACATCAACTGTAAAATCGCGTGGAACATGAGTTGGAAACTACTGTATTGTTTGGGGCTATAAAGGGATATAGATGATTACCCTCATAGTTGAACATCAAATGCAAACGAACATGGGGAATTACGTGGGAACTCAGATGATATAGTGACAGTGGCTTATAGGGATGGGGCGCAATTCCGCTGTGCGTCCTCAAACAAGACTGGGTTCAGTCTGGCATAGATGTGCCTGCGCAGGCAGGATCAACAAGCTTCTGAAAAACCAGGGGCCTGGTTCATCTTGCCAGGAATTTGACACATGCCCGCCTGTAGTACAGCTCCTGCAGGTTCATTTGTTTGCACAATCCGCCCATCATCAAAAAAATAGTGCACAAGGGGCAGGGTCCTTGTAGAGGATGAGGAACAGTGCCTCGCCATGTCCGAGAGCATCTCCTACGGCATAGGCGCTGGGCCACTTCCTGAGATTGACTGCAGTTGATGCTGACAGACGCCGCTTGAAGTCGCTTGAAAGCTTGGCTTCCCAGTTCTGAAGTGTCACAGCAAGTCTCGTCTTGTTGTAGTACTTCTCAGTGAGTTGATTGAAGTCTGTCTCCTCAGGCCAAGGAAAAGAGGGAATGGGCGAATCAAACGGATGCCCCTTTGTCTCTGCCTAACCTCAGGAGCGGGTGCATGTGAACAACATCAAGTTTGCCAGCTTTCAGTAAGCCAGGTCACGTAAAGTCTGTTGATGTCGGGTATGTTGCTGCTCCTGTGCACAGTGTTTTGCAGCACATGTTGCACGTTGCAGCGTGTGACAGCGCGGAAGCAAGAAAGGTAGGCCCGCGGCTTGATAGAGTCCAGCAGCCCTGGAAAAATTGAAAAGAGCTTGCAAAGTGATGGATGAGACTGTCATGCGGTACAGCTGCAGGAGCAAACTTATTCTGGAAGGCCAGGTAGTATTTCAGACGGGCTGCTTCCCAAGAAGTGGTCCACCGCGTCTGGGATAGTCTGCGGACGAGGCAAAACAAGCAAGATGACAGGCCAGCACTAGGCCAGCAAACGGAGGAGCAAACAGACTGCGGCTGTTGCTGTTGCTGCAATGACTCTTGCTGTCGCTGCTGCTACTCAAAACTTGAGACTTGTGGTGATGCAGCCTCAACCTTTCTCTGGTTCTGATTCTCCTCCACGTCGCTGCCCTGCGTGGGGACGGCAGGCCACTAGTTCAGTTCACCATTCAAGCAATGTCCTTTCAACTAAGGCTCTTTTGTTCTGGGACAACACCACAAGCCACAAATTCCACTTAGCCACAATTGGCATAGCTGGCTACATCAACTCCTTACTCAGTTGATACCGGACGCGCCTCGTCACCCATTCTGACCTTGCAGAGTCACACGAGACATTATCTCTAAATTGGGATTCCTAGTTGGCAGGGTTTTTCTGCAAAAGCCTCATCCATTTGGTGGCTAATTTGAAAGCTACCCAAATTGCAGAAGTTGTCACACTCAGTGGCGTCAGCTGTTCCATTCTGAGCTTCCAGCTGACGACAAACTTCTTCTCAATCAACTACTACCTACCCACCGCGCACAAAACTGGAGCCAAACGCAATCAGCGCAGTTCGGCCATAGCTGGCTGCAAAACCAACTCCCAAACTCATGCATCAGATGTGAACTGATCAATATCAAAACTTGTTGGTCCAACTCGAACAAGACCATGAAACCTAATGCATCCAACAGGTCCAGCCTACTTGCAACAGGCTCTTATGTCTTAAGTTTTTAACAGCCCGAGTTTGCCATTTTGGAAATTGAAAGGTGCCAATCTTCCAGCATTCGTGTGCTTCCCTCAGCGCGCATGCCGAGTTCACACACAGAGTCATCTGTCCAAAATGGGCGACTCAATTACTTCCGGCCACCTTCACATTCCAGACTTGGTGCTTCCATACGAGCGGCGCACTAAATCTCCTTCATAGCAAAAAGACCAGGGAAAAGAGGGTTGGCCCCTGGCCCTATCGGTTATGCGAGGTTTAGGAAGGTATCGGTTGAAGGTCGGTAATCAACAAATTGTTCAGCATCAAAAACGCCAATTGCTTGCTCCTTGGTCGAAATCATGTTTTTGAGGCGCATCCCATCAGTTGAGGGTTGGCCCCTATCGGTTTTCGCTTAAAAGGTCTGGTTTTGAACCTCATGACCAACTTATCGACATGTTGCAATTTCCATCGATTTAATCTGGATTCATGTTCGACTTACCAAACTAGTTGAGCTAAACTGCGGCTGTACGTTTTGGGTCAATTGATTGGAGAACCTTGGGTCATTCCCCAGCCCTGTAACTGTTAAACACGGGGCTTTATCTAACAGGAGCAGGCCCAAGAATATAACTCTGGTTTTGGTGGCTTTCATGTGAACAGCCCGTACTTGGAAGATCTGCTTTGACTTCTCTCTTCCATCTCCTCTCCTCTCTTGTCCTCTCCTGCTCCTGTCCTCTCCTCTCCACCCCCTCCCCTCCTCTCCCGTCCTCTCCTCTCTCCTCTCTCCCCTCCCCTATTCTAAACAAACAGAAGCCGATTCGCAGACAGGTGTACAGGAGACGATGAGACCCCTGCACAGCTTTCATTTCGAGCTCCAGCGACACACATTGGAATGTCATGAGGAAGACTCGACACTCAGAAGCCAAATACCAAAAAGGCCCAGGGCCTAGAAACCAGTTCCGGACACTGACGGAAGCCCAAGCAAAGGTTTGAAGCAGAAAAATCAAGGGCTGGAGCACTAGAACCAAGGGCCTGGAGCACCAGAACCAAGGCCCGGGAGCACCAGAACCAATGGCCGGGAGCACCAGAACCAATGGCCGGGAGCACAGAACCAAGGGCCGGAGCACCAGACCTTCGATTTCCGTAATCTGAGCTGGAAAGAAAATTCTGGGCTTCTCGTGCTCCAATTCCTGGTTTCTCGTGCTCCTGATTTCTGCCTGTTGGAATCGACGAGCACAAGATTTAGCACAATCCGAAATCCGAAACGCAGCGAGAAGCGTAAAATCAAGCCCAAAATCCGAAAATCCGAAGCACAGCGAGGTGCACAAAATCCAGCGCAAAATCCCGAAGAAAAAAAAAACACACATCGAAGCACAACGAGAAGCAACAAATTGAACACAAAATCCGGAAAAAATCAAAGCACAACGAGAAGCAGAAAATCAAGCACAAAACCCGAAAATCCGAAGCACAACGGGAAGCACAAAATCCGAAAATCTGAAGCACAAAATCAAGCACAAAATCCGAAAATCCGAAGCACAGCGAGAAGCAAAAAATCGAGCACAAAATCCGAAAATCCGAAGCACAACGAGAAACACAAAATCGAGCACAAATTCATAAGCCTGGTTTGGGCTTACGAAATGTTCGGGCCAACGAATCCTTTGGCATTTCCTCTTCGAGGCCTCCGCGGCAACAGCTGCGTCCTTGAGGACCTGCTCCACCTGCTGAGGACTCATGCCACGCAACTGCGGGAAGTTGTGGATAACCGGATCCGGGACGGCAAGCGGCGCTGCTTGTGGAGGGGTTGTCCATCCAGGCCACCCTGCATGTCCGAAAGAATCACGCATCACTGGCTGAATCGGATACCAGTCGCTCAGGCAAGCCGGACTCATCGCATTGTACCCCCCCTGACGTGGTTAACACGAGGCAAGCTTGCCAGGATAGGCTTTGGCTGGAGCCAGTCTTCCTGCCTAGCATTATGCGTTGCCCAAATTTGCATGAAGCAATCGAATGGCATGACGTGACTTACAACATCCTACAACAGCAACAAGACTCAGCTGGGGCCATTGCCAATTCTCCCATGTCCGGTAGTGGCGCTTACGGCGGCCGCCATGGGCAAAACTTGCCATTGATTGACTATGAGCGGCGATGAGGGGCCCGAATGATCTAAGCCTTGATCTGCATCACGACACGCTTGGCTCTCTTGGCAAGAAGTAGAGGTCAATCATGTCTATGCTGCCAAAAGACTGAACGGATCACAACAGGGGTCTGCAAATGCAGTTGATGGCTGCCTCCTGGACTACTGCCACTTCAACTGGTGAGCCGTGTCGAATCTAACAAACTTCTGATGTTTCCAATCACAGCTGAAGGGTTATTGTGAAAGCAACTGAGAGATGAAGACAAGCGCATGGGCTCAGGGGAAATCATTCCCGCCTGTTTGTCCCGAATGCTCCGCAGAAGGGTTCCCGTGGTAAAGGTTGGGGTCCAGGAGGTGGCCAAACATCGTTGGTTTTACGAAGCGTCCGCGAGTGTTGCAGGAGTGTCGCATCACGATCCCTGTACCTGTCGTCACTTTTGGACCCTCCAGCGTCAAAAGTGCCAACAGTCACAGGGATGGGGCCCGTAGGGATTGCCATCCTCAGAACTGTCGTCGCTGTTGGCCCCTCGTCTTCTTATCGTGTCAGTCCAGTCACAGGGATGGGTCGTATTGGGGTCGCGATCCTCGTAACTGTCGTCGCGTTTGGAGCCTCGTAGATAGGGAGGAGGGAGGAGAGAGGAGCAAGAAGAAGAGGCGAGGCAAAAAGACCAAGGAGAGCAGGGAGAGGATGACCCCGGACCTAAGTTCCCTGAGTCGGTCGCACGTGGCGTGCTTCATCTTTGCCACGTATGCGTCACGTGTCTGCCTTCAAGTTTGTGATCCTATCAGGTTGGATTGTTGCTGACATTTTGCGGGCAGGGATCTCGCACCTGCGACATCTTTGAGGGCCCAGTCTGTTGGGCTGGTTTCTCTGTTTGCAAGAACAATCCAGAAAGCAGTGAACTTTTTATGGGCCCCACGTCCCTTCCAGCAAGCAGCCCAAAATGTACACCCAAAGTTGCATTATCTTCATTTGAGGGACCCTAAAGGCCCTAAAAGGTACCTCTAATCTGGAGGAAGCCTAGTCCTTATAAACCCCTATGTAATCCCAGTTTCCACACGTTTCCATTACATCCCTACATGTGTGCCTATTTAATCCCAACAAAGGCCCTACTATAATACAGGAGATTCCTCCATTATCCCTATAACATGAACTGAAGCCGGCTTACAGGTTCAGCCTTGTGATTCTGGTCAGAACAATTTTCAGATCTACTGTCATGGCGCCTCAGTGTCAGTAAGCCCCCTGAAGCACGGAAAAATCCGGCGGCTCCAGCCTCCAAAGCCTGTCTGGTAAACCTTGCAGGGTTTGCGTAAATGCGCGGCGGTTTCGAAAGCTGGAGCGAGTGGTCCTTACTGAAATATACTGAAATGAGCAGCCGTTTGAGATGATGGCTCAGTCTTCTTCTTAGTGGCTGCTGCAGGCCCATCTCTCACTTTACGCAGTCCGTGTCGTTCGCACCTGGTGCGTTTTTGGTAACGGGCCTGGACTCGCTGGACTGATACAATATTTGGCACGAGGCCTTGTCCATGGGGCTTGCTATTTCTTATGGGCACGGTGACTGTGCCGGCGCAGGAACTATGAAGGATCCTGTGGCTGCCGTTGGCATCTCACCGCGCAGCACGTTGCTTCTCATGATCCTGTCCCTCCCGTACCAATGTGTCACGTCACGGTACAACACCGCAGCCAGGAATTCACAAACCTTAAAGTTCGCTGCACACCAGGCCTGGCAGCATTGGGAAAGGACAGGAAAAAGCTTGGAAGACCACAGATACGTGGCCAGCACAAGGCGCTGCTATGCGATGCTAGCCAACTAAGCTTATGCAATCGGACTGTGAGCAGGCAACGCGTGGACAACACCCTGAAGATGATCGATTAAGTTCACTTAAATCTGAACTAGCAGGTCTGTTCCATATGCTTCCAGTGTGTCGCAATTCTGCAAGCACTGAACAACAGTTACGTAACTTACCGCTACTGTTCGACACAAATGACATGGTCAAAGCCACTTGCTGGGCGATTTTTCCGTGCGCGTGCTTCCCCCTTCACACTTTTGATCCGACAGAGTGATTGCGGCCCAATGCTGAAGAAAGGTGAACGAACTCGATGCTTCGGATGGATTTGCATCATCTGGTGCTTCCACATGCTGGACTTTCCACTGCAGGCTGAGCTAAATTTCGCACAGGAACTAATCCCGCGTCGGCGATGATGTCTGGCAGAGCAAGCAAGTTCAAGAAGTCAAAATTACGGACGCACAGGCCAAGGTGCAATTTCTTGTGAGCTGGATGAGCTGGCATCAAGGCGCCCATGACTGGCGCAGCCGCGCTCGCATGTTCTGCCATGTTGGCAGCTGTGCGTCTGAATTTTGCCAATCATCGTCGTCCTCCCTGCAGTGACCCCTGAAGCTTTGCAGCGTTCCGTGCAGTCCTCTTCCATCTCACCAGCCAGGTGCCGATGCGTTGCAATGGTCCAATCAAGAGCTGTGGCCATCCAGGGCCTGTA